GCTATTTCGGCCCTAGGGCTAGCTGACGAACTATTATAAAGTCCCCCTGCAGCAGTTGTAGTTCGATACCTTTTGATTCTTAATAAAACGCCGTATTTCTTCTCCTTGAGTGTTCTTGAGAGAAAACCCTAGTTCTTTGTCTTGTGTGTGATTCACCAAGGCTGAGATCCTGTGCTGTATCAGAGATTAATCCCGACTCTGTGGTGCACTTCAATCCGCCAACCCTTCCCCTTGAATCGGTCCCACACGAGAGAAGCATCCACCATAGTGTTAGATCTCCATCTTCGATAATCTTTTCTTCACAAGAGAGAGCGACCGCAAGCTTGTGAATCTGCCACCTCTATCTCAATAGAAGTCTCACCACCGAGTCTTGTATCAGTGTTGGAGCATCCTAGAATGTTTTGGTAAGCTTCTAGATATATCTCAGAGTCTTCTGGGTGCCATTGATATGTTTGAAGCCTCATAATCCCGTAAGATTGCAAGTAAGGCAAGCCGAGAATCCTTCAGTTTAGAAATTGAATAACTTCTAAATCAAAATTTATGTTGGTCTTATTCCAATTTGTGGTGTTCCTCTGATGGCTCAAGATTGCTGACCAAGTAGTTTCATAGGTTAATTCCTTCTGGGTTGTTTGCAATGCTTCAATCAATGCATGTATGTCCGATTCGGCTAAGTTCAGGACCACCTGATTTGAAAACTGAATAACTTCTTCGTTTGAACCCCATTTGATCTGATTCTCCTTTGAGGTGTTATGTATTCCATATGAGAGTCTTCTCCAAGTGATTTCATGCGTTGAATTTTTGTGGTTGAGTTGATAAGCTTCAAATAATGAACATATCTCCTTGTCGAGTCTGATTAGCATTGTGCATCCGGTTTGATGGAGCTCCGGTTCAGCTACTGGTTTGATGACCGCATCATACCCTCTCTCTTCAAAACATTTTGTCCTCAAAACTTTATTTCATGTACATAAATAGAGCAAGTTAGTATTGTGCATTATTTGAGGATTTAGACAGTTACCTCGGGTTATGGTTTGCGTGTAGCTCGGATTTGGTTGATCTTGGATATCTGGTGGCTCTTCTTTGATCCGAAATGAAGCAATGAATCCTTTGCTACACTCTGATTTCTTAGGCGTCATGGCTGCCTTATTTGTGAAATATCATATTTCGCTTTTGATCTCTATGTCGAACTCTTCTTGAATCTCGGTATTGGAATGAGGA